CACGATCACCCACCCTAGCTCACACGAGCAGCTGTCTGATGTCTGCTGTCACCCGTTCCCAAATGGCTTGTCCCACTAAGCTGATGTTCTGCGATCCTGGCACTGAAAATCAAGGCAGCCAGGCATCAGAATCTTGTCTTCGGTGTCCTTTTCACGGCTGCAGATTGCACTACAACCCTGGCCAGCTGCCTTGCAGAGACAAGTGATGGCCACAAGGAAAACTTTATGAGGGAGGGATGGATCAGGTGACCCTCATTCCTACTACAAAAGCGTGTGCTCAGCTGGGAGAAGATCAGTATCACTTTCTCGAGTAAAAAAGAATCGACATGCTCATTAGATATTCAGAGCTGTGGGGAAAATGTGACAGGTCCAAGTGTTGCTTCTCTAAAGATGTCATTCTGCTGCGGATTTTGTCCTGGACTTTATGAATTAAACTCTGTCACTTCTCTATAAGCTAGACGCATCCAGAGTTCTGATTTCTTTCTCTTTCGAACAGCTCCTAGCTGTTTTCATCTGCTTTCACCCTTGTATTAGACAAAGCACTCTCACAGATGTAGTAGCAGTATTAACAATCACAACCACTATGGAGATAGACAGGTCATATGCATATGTACTAAATCAATAGAATATGGGGATGTATGCTGTGATGTGAAAATGTGTGTGTGTGTGTACAAACGCACATGGAGGTCAGAGGTGCCTAGACAGCTGTTCCTCAGGTGCCACCACCTCTGTTTACTTTTTCCCTTCAGTCCCTCACTGGCCCAGAACTCACCACGGAATCTAGACTTGGCCTCCCCGGGGCTGGCGTTCAAACTGCGTGGCCACACCTGCCTTTTTCCGCCCCATTCCTTCTGGGCACTGAATTCAAGGCCTTGTGTTGTGTTTTCAAGACAAACGCTTCATGGACTGTGCCATCTCCATAGCCCCTGGGGGGAAAAACAACAACCCTGTAATTCCTGGCACAAGTGTTCCTTTGGGGGGGCACTTTCTCTGTCTGTGTCGGAAAACACTTTGGTAACCAGGTTAGTAATGGTAGGTAGTCATGAAAACACTGGCTGGGAGATGGGAAAATGCTGCATAAAGAGAGGACGAAGATTTCTACAGGGATGGCACTGTACAAATGGTGGGCAGGGGCAAGTTGTGGCTTCTGCTGAAGGGAGAGGAGTTGGTGGACGAAAATGCAAGGGGAGGAAACAAAGGACCTTTAAGAGGAAGGATTTCTAATTTTAGGGGTGTGTGTGTGTGTGTGTGTGTGTGTGTGTGTGTGTGAGAGAGAGAGAGAGAGAGAGAGAGAGAGAGAGAGAGAGAGAGAGAGAGAGAGAGAGAGAGAGAGAGAGATTGCAGGTAAGATGTGAGGAAGCCTTAAGTGGTCAGAGAAAGAACTCTGAACCAGAGGTGACCCCGAGACTGTGTCCCTCATTGTCAGTACAGTCTTAGACCGGGCATCTCCACAGAGGTGGGCAAGAGACTTGAACCAATTTTAACCAGACCCCCGTGACAGGAGACTCTGACAAACAGTAGCATGCTCTTTCAACCCTCTTTTTTTTTTCTTCCCCACCTTTTAGAGACAGTCTCACCTTGTAGTCCAGGTTGACCTCACATTTGAGGTAAGCCTCCTGTCTCAGTCTCCCAAGTTCTGAAATTACAGGTAGTTGTGAGCCACTATACCCAGCTCCATCATACTTTATCTGTCCTTTCTTTCTCTGACAGGTCTTGTATAATATTAGAGGGACCAGTCTCAATATTATACATTCCAGGGGCTCAGGAGAGAGAACTACTAATGGCGAGGACTATTTTTAGGAAATAGAATCTCAGCACACCGAGCTCTATAGTCCACTTGCTTTAATTCCTCTGGCATAACATCCTACTTACACAGCTTCAGTTCTGTTCTCATGTCTAGCTCCTTTCTTGCCTGATTTCTGTTTATCTACTGTTCCCTCTTAAGTTCTATCTTACTTCTGCCTCATCTAGGTCCTTTTCACCTTGTTCTTACCCAGCTGGGACTTCCCCATCTGACTCTTCATCTTCCATCTTGTTCCTCTAGTCCTCTTTTCTAGCCCTTCACTCTAATTCTTCCCCATCTCAGTTTGTTCCTCTCAAGTTCTTACCCATCTAGTTCTCCCATTCTCTTTTTCCTTCTCTGTCCCCCCCGTGCCTTGGAAGTCCTGGTATATATACACTTACAAGCAGTATTTCCTTAGCAGTGCAAAGCCAGGCTTCCAGGGTCAAATGGAGGGGTGATAAGAATCACATTGAGAGGCAGTAACCGTTAATTATCGTTTGCAACCCCAGGGTGGGGGAAAGTGTGCTCAGTCGCTAGGCAACCTGTGTACCACTAGATGCCTCTGGTGATAGTTAAAGGGAGATCTGGAACTAAAGGTAAGGTTTGGGAAAAGAGGAAGTAAGGCTTAATTGGCACATCCGCCAGGCCTTCTCAAATGGGTAGCCTGGGTGCTCAGTCGCTAGGCAACCTGTGTACCACTAGATGCCTCTGGTGATAGTTAAAGGGAGATCTGGAACTAAAGGTAAGGTTTGGGAAAAGAGGAAGTAAGGCTTAATTGGCACATCCGCCAGGCCTTCTCAAATGGGTAGCCTGGATGCTTAAGTCTGTTCTTAGAAAGTACAGAGGTAACTCTGATAAGGTACTTTCCTCCATCTGGGGATGGACCTGGCCGGATGCTGCCAATGATGATAATTACAGGGAGGCTTGAACTGGGGTTCTGGCTGAGCATAGCTGTCAGCGCAGAAGGTTATCTAACTATTCCTAGAAGTGGTTAGGTAAGGAATTAGAGGTCTATAAAGTTAGTGAGGCTGTAAGAAAGGAGGGTCTGAGCTAAAATGTGTAAAGCTATTATTTAACATCCACCTGACCTAGACGGTGTCTCCTTGTGGAATTTGCCTTAAATCAGGAGACTTGCATGTGGACTGTTATTACTGCTAGTCCTTGAAAGTGGCCAAGGGAGATATCTGATTCCAGAGAAAGCCTTTCCTGAGGCTGTTCTCCAAATACCTGGAATGTGTATGTCCAGAGAGTGATCAGTCCACACTGTTAGCCCTTCTTAGGGAAAAGTCGATTCGGAAAGCTATGAAGGCACACATGATTTTCATAACAGAATACAGCTGATATATAACAAGCCAAGTAACACCAAAAACTCCTTGGGATTTGGCTTCTTCTGGAGGAATTCCCTGATCCCTCCAGGTAGTGACTTTGCCATAACCAGCTGAGTTCTTATAATATATTCCTGCGGCCCGCAGCAGACAGGCTCTCACATACCCCAAGCTGGCCTTTAACTCTGTGTAGCTGAGGTTGATCCTGAACACCTGATCCTCTGGCCTGCATTCTCCTGAGTGCTGGGGTTACAGGTATGTGCCAGCGTGTGGTGCTGCAGATCAAACCCATGGCTTTCTGCAGGTTCTTCCTAGATAAGGACTCTTAACAAATGAGCTACATTCCCAGCCCTAATTTCTCAAAAGACACTATGGGAAACTATCAAGGCCAGTAATTCACCTCTTCCTTTTTTAATTTCTTAATTTCCTCATCTATAAAAGCTGGAGATTGGGCCTAGAATACCCCTAGGGTTTCTATCAGAGCTCTGACATTACATTCCCTTTGAGGTAAATTTGAATACAGTAAAACGTGCAAATCTGAACTGTTCCATTCCATGACTTCTGACAACTACAGACACTTCCCTGACCTAAATCTTTAGCAAGATACAGCACTTTTTTTTTTTTTTTTGGTTTTTCGAGACAGGGTTTCTCTGTGTAGCTTTGCGCCTTTCCTGGAACTCACTTGGTAGTCCAGGCTGGCCTCGAACTCACAGAGATCCGCCTGGCTCTGCCTCCCGAGTGCTGGGATTAAAGGCGTGCGCCACCACCGCCCGGCCAGATACAGCACTTTTTAATCAGTACAGGACAGCTTCAGCCAACCCACCTTCAACAGCTAGCCAAATATTTTGACTTTTATCACGAGCGGATGGATTAACTAGTATCTGAAAGCTAGTTGTGAGATGCCAGACTTTGATACTGCTTCATCAGTATTGAAGTTTCTTACAGGAACGGAGGGACATCTCTATTTGGCAGACTAAGACGTCAGAGCGGATAGGGAAGGTGCCCGAGTCATCAAGCTACCAAGCAGTTAACTTGGACGCTGTGTGAGAAGTCCAGGTTGTTAATCCCGGCCCATACTACACTGACGGACGATCCTGGCGAGTCAGCGAACGACTGCCTAAGGCACATCATAGCTTCGAATTCGATGGGTGGGGTTCAGTGCCATTCACGAGTTCCAACGAGTCCCGAATATTCCTGCAGGCTGTGCGCACACGCCACCTTCTGCAATGGCTCGCTCCCACTCCGCGCCGGGGAGCACGGCAGGAGTGGGGCTGCGAGCGGCCTCCGGTCCACCAGGCTGGCTCTCGGCGAGGTCGCGTCCTTAGAGGGACGAGCCGAGCGCTCGGCCGCCGCCGCACACGTCCTGCGCGAATGTGGCAGGTGCAGCACGCCCTGCCTAGGGTCTCGGGCTCGCCATCGCGCCAGGTGAGGTCTCCGTGCTCGCAACCCTCGCCCCTGCGCATCCTTTCCCTACAGCCGGGCTCCCCAGGCTCCTCCCAGCGCTGACTCAACCTCATCACCCTCTCCCCGCAGCGCTGCCGCGGCTGCCATGGCAACCGTGCGCCGCCGCCTCCCCGCCCAGGCGGCGAACTAACGGACTCCGGGCGGCGGCTGGCGGGGCCCCGCCCCGCCCCACCTCTTGACAGCCCTGACCTACAGGATCTAGGTGGTGAGCCCGAGGACCCGGCGTGACCGGGAGAGCCGGGCTGCGGCGCCCAGGTGGGCAGTCCCAGTCCGCATCCCCTTAGCGGCCGGACACTAGGCCGCTCCCCCGGAGGGCAAGTCCGAGAGCCGCGGGGACAGGCGCCTCGGTCGCGGGGCATCATGGGTCTTGTAGTTGGGTGGCTCGCCGCTGCGGCTGGGTGACTCGGTCCCGAGAACTACAAAGCCCAGCGGTCCCGAGCGCGGCGACCGACTGATAAGCTGGGAGCGGACCCGAGAGCGTTAATGGGGCTCTTTGTCTGCAGGGGGTTCCGGGGTGGTCGCTGAACCCGGCAGGGTGCGTCGGGAAGGCTGGGGAAGCGCAGGTGAGCCGTGGGCCTGGGTGCTGCGCTCGGGCTCCCGCAGCCACCGCACTCGCGGCCCCGCCCCATCGCCACCTCGCGGGGCCTGGGCCTCCCAGGGCGCTGCCTCTCGGTGCAGAACCGTATGTATGGCACAAGGTGGATGAGAGACCCGACGAACCCGTCCTTAAAAGGCCCTTTGCCTTTCCCCGTGAACTTCTAGGTATTTCTGCTTATTTTCAAGTAGCTCAGCGCTGTTGGCATATTAAACCCATTCATTGATGTGTGTGCAGAAGACAGTAATATTTAAAAGGCTAAGAGTGAGAGCGGATGAACGATGCTACTGTTATCTGGCAGTGTCTGGTATTCTTTCTTTCTTTTTTTTTTTTTTTAAAAAAAACCGTTTTGCATTTTAGCTATGAGGTTCAATATTGTAGACTAATGACCGTCCCTTCCCCCTCCGCTCCCCATTCACCAGCCTGAACGTTGCCCACACATATTTTGGTTCTACTTTGAAGTCTAGTTAAACTTTAAATGATTAGTTAACTTTTAAAGCAAATAGTTTTTAAAGACAACGTGTGGCATTACTTTCCTTGGTTATCCTAAATATATATATATTTTTTTTCAGAATTTCTGAGGAGCGTGTTTTCCGAATGAAACATGCTGTGCCCTATCTTTCAAAAAATTATTATTACTATTTTAAATGCCGCACTATGGAACACAGCTTAGCCACAAGAGCTGAGTCTAAGGCCTAGTGGGAAGGAAGCTGACAGATTGGAAAACTGGCCCTCAGCATCCTTTAAGGTTTCCAATAGATAGATAACCTCACATTTGATACTATATGGGGTAAGTTGGGACGTTCTTGACAGAGTTATAGACTTATTATTGAATGTGCATGTTCTTAGAAATAACAGCAAAAATAAGACCAGGAGCACTAAACTTAACTTTTCTCTCAGTTGTGCTGACATCTTTAAATTTTAAAGTAATGCTTTTTGTTTTGTTTTGTTTTTGTATAAGGAGGCAAAATAGGCTGTGAGGATGAAGGAGAGATCTTATATAATGTAGAGACTTGAGGCATTATAAATGTAGTCATTAAAAGAAATGTAAGATTATTCCACTGCCAGCTATTACGTCAGGCAGTGGGACCAAAGAGATGAATAGAAAGAAGATGGCCGTCTCCTACACAGCACACATTCATTTCCTCACAGTTGTGTGGTCGGAACAGTAATTTCAATAAGAATGATCCCGTTTACTGAATACTTATCTGTGTGAGGCACTCTACACAGTGGTCTGCATTGAAGTCCTTATGTAAGCCTCACAAGGAAAATACGAAGCAGTTACTGTTACTTAGCGGTGATGAAATGGGTTTAGAGAGCTTGTCCAAAGTCATGAGCCAGAGACTTCAACCTAGGCGTGTCCAACTCATGACCCAGGCACTGGTGCAGTTTCCACAACCACTTAGAAGAGCTTGAGGCTGTCCACGGAGACCAGGGGAGACCTTTGGTATGTAGTGCAGAACTGGCTCAAAAGTAAACAATTTGTATCTATGATCATGAGGAATATTGGCATGTAGTTTTCTTATGTCTGGTTTTAGAATCAGTGACAGTCTTCAAATATGAGTTGAAAATATTTTTGCCTCTTTCTGGAGAGTGTCTTTTGTTGTCGAATATTATTTTAAGATGTGTTACATTCGTTTATGCTGTGAAACATTTGTTTAATGATGCAAAGATGTATTGCATAATTTTATGTTGCATTTGTTTAACTCCATAAAGCTGTGTTACTTTGCCTGCCTAAGACACCTGATTGGACTAATAAAGAGGTGAACAGCCAATAGCAAGGCAGGAGAGAGAAATAGGTGGGGCTGGCAGGCATTGAGAATAAATAGGAGAAAAAAAGCAAGAGGGATCACGGAATGAGAAAAGGAAGGAGGAGGACATCAGGGGCCAGCCAGCCACGGAGTAAGAGTGAAAGTAAGATATAGAGACATTAAGAGAAAGGTAAAAGCCCGGTGGGAAAAGGTAGCTGGGATAATTCAAGTTAAGGAAAGCTGGCTAGAAACAAGCCAAGCTAAGGCCGGGCATTCATAAGTAATAATAAGCCTCCCTATGTGATTTATTGGGAGCTGGGTGGTGGGCCCCCCAAAGAGTAAAGAGTAAAAACAACCAAAGACAGCCTTCAGTACTCACATGTGAAGCTGTTGGGTCTGGAGTATTTTGGGGAGGTCATAAATAGTAAACTTGGTTTCCCTGACAAACGCGGGACAGTTGAGGTCACTCTTAATGTTTCTGGAGTGGCTTTGGTCTGTTGTGACCTCACAGACTTGTCTGTTTCAGTAAGTTCTTTGGCCTTTCATTCTCTTTGAAGTTTGTAGTGCTAGCCCTCCTTCATTTCCAATTTTGGTAATATTTCCCCCTTTTCCTAGCCAGCATCACTAGAAGCTTCTTAATTTTATTGAGCTTTCTGAAGAATCTCCTTTTGGCCAGATTGAAGTGTTTTGTATTTTTTTCTGTTTTTAAAATTTTTTTGATTGATTTATTCACACTTTACTTTATTTTAGAGACAGGGTCTCACTCTGTAGCTTTGGCTACTTAGAACTCACTATATAAATGAGGCTGTCCTCGAACTCAGAGATCACCTGCTTCAGCTTCAGAATGGTGGGATTAAAGTCATGACCCACCTCTTCTGGCATGATTTCTTCTCTTTATCATGTTTTTCCTTGCTACCTCTTTGGGTAGCAAATGAAAGGTGGGAGCTCTGAGCAGGCTCCAGCAAACTGCAGTCCAGGGGCCAGTACCCAGCAGGCTATTCTTGAAAGACCCACGAACTAGGGGTGACTTTTGCCCTTTTCTAATAATTGATAACTCATAGGAATGGAAGGAGATTCCGATTTCAGTGTCTGAACATCAGTGGTGTTGGGATGCAGCCACACTCAGCTGGGGATGTACCTCTTATGGCTGCCTCTCTGGAATGGCAGAGTTAAGTACTGTGTCAGAGAGCAAGTGCCGTTTTCACAGGCGCTATACAAGTGCGTGATACGCTGTCAGCCGAGTCACGGTGCTGAACTTGACACCTAAATTATTATTTTTATCAGTGCACACTCCTGTCAGAACAAGAAGAGGTGGAAATGTGCATTTGGAATATTTAGAGCGCTGTGAGGCGAGGACGAAGCAGTGTGCTTGTGCCATGACACAGGGGCTGTGCTGGAGAGGGACAGTGGGGACATAGCGTTGTCACCAGAGTGAGCACAACACAACGGACCCTAAGATTGCAAAGGCCGGTGGAACCAGCAAGCTTTAACATGGATCGAGTCTCTCTCTTCACAGATTTGAAAAGTGGAAACGAAGCCGTGCGGCTGGGCACTTTACAAACGGCTCATTTGTTAGCCAAGCCAGGAAGTCGTTGACCAATGGGGAGTTGGATTGCAGCAGGCACAGAATTGTGTCTGGAGAAAATAAACTTGTTTAAAATGATTAGCCTTTTGGCATGAACGGTTGCTCGAAGCGTTGAGGGCACCATTAATCAATTAAAAACCCAAAGAAATGATTTTGAGTGGTTTTCCTTGGCTCTTCATGAGACGGCAGATGTTAGCAATACTGCTCAGTTGTTTACTTGGGAAGTCATCGCTGAGCTTGAAGTGATTGAAAAGTGAGTTTGAACCAACATTGTGTGTTGGGGGCATCGAGGACACATACAGAGTTTTCAAGACACCAGAGCATCAATTCCATACAACTTGAATCTTCGAAGCTACATTAGAAGGATGCTTGTAAACATCTGTAGAATGGAAATGAGCTCAGGTGGACATGGTTATGATGCTATGAAAATGTGAGCCAGGTGAAGCTTGTGGTTATCTGTCATTAATTCTTTGGTGTTTTGCAGATATGTATCTATCCCGTAGTCAGGGTCTGTATGGGGTCAGTGTCTGGAATTCCGTTATGGAATTAGCTGTTGTCAGTTCCGTAGGCTTGTGTCAAGAGTAGGAGCAGCACCCTCCCTTGCCTTCGCCACACAGCCTTCTGATGGCTTAGCAACAGGCAGGTTTTCAGCTTAGGGTAGAGGTGGGAGGTTGTCAGAAGGAGAGCAACTGCCCTCGGCCACTCTCATTGAACACCAAGGGCTTGCTTTTGCCATAAACTCGGTAATATTTCTTAATGAATCCACCCTACACATTCCAAGACGGAACAGGTGCTTATGTCAAAGCCAAGACTGCAGGAGAAGTCTTGCTATGCAGTTAGTGTTTCTACACACTGTCAGTGTTGTTCAGCTGTCCACATGGTCAGAAGGAAGTGGCATCTCCATTCTTTTTGTTTTGTTTTTGTTTTTAAGGGTTTCTTTGTGTGTCCCTGGCTGTCCTGGAACTCTCTCTGTGGACCAGGCTGGCCTCGAACTCAGAGATCCTCCCGCCTCTGCTTTCCAAGTGCTGGGATTAAAGGCGTGCACCACCACTGTCTGGCTGACATCTCCATTCTTTCTCATAGTGGCTGTCAGCATTCTGAGACTTCTCAGACTGGTTTTAGCATCATTTCCAGACTTTTATTCTAACTTCCATATTAGATATCCATTTAACTGTGTTGTTGAAGTTCTTTTCAGCTTAATCATTAATTGGTCTTGAATAATCTGCAGAATGCATTGTTTAAATACTCTCTGAACAGTGACTATGCTGACCGGAAATCACGTGTCTGCAGTTTGCTCACATTAGGTGGAAGGACCAAACTGGCTTACACCTAGTCATTTAAGAAAGGACTTCACAGATGAAATATATACAGCATTATTAAAAACCAGTGTCAATGACCTGGTGCTTGTGATTGAAGGCAGGGAACACTAACTCAGTCCTAAGCTTTGAAGAGAGTTGATTCTTTTCATTAGGAGACCTGCTTTACAGAGTTACTGCTGTCTATATTTTTTAATTTTATCACTATAGAATATAGAAAGTTTTATCTCATAATTGTTTATCTGTTGTCCTCTATTTTGTTTGTTAGTCTCTTAGAATTTAAATGTTTGTCCAAACCTTTACAAAAAAGGATGCCAGCCCGTTTGTTATAGCAAAATATTTTCCTACATGATGGTATACCTGTACATGTTAGCAGACTTAATATAAGTAATTTGCCAGACAGCAGCCGTAGAAGAACAGAATTCACGGGGAACTTTGTGCTCCCAGGTCTCCTCAGTGAAGCTTAGCTAGTCCTAAACAAGAGTCAGGACTGTTCGCTGTGATAGATATGAGCGATGCGTAGCCTAAAGGAAGAGGCGTTGGTTTGACGCTCATGGTTTGGGGGCTCAGTCGATGGCAGGCTGGCTCCATGCTTCCGGTTCTTCTTGAGGTAGTGAATTAGGGCAGAAGGGCATGGTGACAGAGCTGTGGCACCCAGGGAGCAAAAAGAATATGTGTCCTTTTCTGTCTGGGTCCCCAGCCTGTGAGATGCTGACACCCACATTTCTACTGGGGCCTTCTCCCCCAGGTTGACTTTTCTCTGGAAACATTCTCCTGGATAGACTCAGAGAAGTAATTTACTGATCTTTAAGTGTATGTGTGTGGTGTGAACGCATGTGTGTGGTGTGAATGCATGTGTGTGGTGTGCATGCATGTGTGTGGTGTGCATGCATGTGTGTGTGCATGTTTGGGGGTGTGCATGTGTGTAGGTGCATTGGCATGTGTGTGAACAAATCATGTGGTGGTCAGAGAGTGACGTCAGGGCCCCCTTCGCTTTCCACCCTATGTGTTGAGGCATGGTCTCTCACTTGAGCCCAGAGCCGATTGATTCCTTTGTCTGTGTTGGGAGAGTCCGGCTACCCAAACTAAAGCGTAATTCCCTAGGAAGGCAGGAGGGACATTTCTACTTTCTGTATTACTCATTTAATTGGCTTGCTCTTCCAGGAGATAGTAGGGCGATTTGTACTTTCCTAGGGTCCCTTCCTCTGTATTTCAGGACTTCGTGTGCTTACGGTCTTGGGAGGAAAGTGCCTATGCTGAGAAGCCTTGGGTGACTGGGAGACTCTGAGAAAGTCAAGAGAAAAGCCGGCATTGCTGAGCTGAAGGACTGGCCTAGAAACCGAAGCTCAGAGCGCCTTCCTGGCATCAGATGGACGGTTCCGATAGGGTAGCACCAGTTAGGATGGGGCGATGGCTCAGCGGTGGAAGGGAGGGCTCATGAGGTATCTGGCCATCTCTTCCCTATGCAGAAGAGATGCGTGCTGAAGACAAAGGACAAATTGAGATTCAGACATCTCTCCCGGTTTGACTCATACTTAGCTTTGCTGTATGATGCAGCCATGGCATCTAGATGATGGTGGACTCCATAGGCTGTCCTCCAAAGTATAACCTGAAGTGTGAAAATTTTACTCCTAGGGTCCAAGGGTCTCAGCTAAAACAGCAAATGTTAAGATACTTAACCATATTCGTATATGTCTTTCGATGTCATAAAGAAGTAGCCGAGCAGAACAGAATCTCGTGGATATATCTGACTGAGTTGGTGGCAGTAATAAATGAGCAAGGAGCCCTCATGTCCACTGTTCTTCATAAATCAGCCAGCTGTCCATCACCTAGGCGGTTCTCCCTGTTATCTCCCTGGATGGTCTGTGACCTCCTGTGTATTTGCAGAGTTGGAAATTCAGTTAAGTTTTATGTCTATTTTGACTCTCAAACCAGTTTGATGCACGTGTTACAAAACTGATAATTGTTTTAAAATCAGTGCTAAGAACCTTACAGAAAGCATTGTGTTTTATCCTCAGGGATCTGAAAGAAGATGAACTTGGCAGAGATTTGTGACAACGCAAAGAAAGGGCGAGAGTATGCGCTTCTGGGAAATTATGACTCATCGATGGTGTATTATCAGGGAGTAATACAGCAGATCCAGAGACATTGCCAGTCAGTGAGAGACCCGGCTGTCAAAGGGAAGTGGCATCAGGTAGGACAGCTCGCAAGTGCCCCGTGTGCCATGGCAGCCGGGTTCTGTCAACTTGAGGAAGCAGAGGCGGGAGGTTAGCCGGAGAATTTGCACGTTCTTCTGATTGGTCGGAATACTGAAATACGTTTGACATTTAACTCTACGTGAGGTTCTGGTAGACTACCTTCTCAATGGTCTGTGTATTTCTGACCATACGTTTTCATCTTTGAGGATGCTTAATTGTAGTTGAAGGCTTTCTTAATTTTGAAATTTTTAAAACTAGCTATCTCTTGTTGCTGTCTCCTCTCTCATTTTTGTTTGTGGTTTTGACCTATTTCATAAAAGTTTTCCTTGAAAGTCTCCTTACAAATACAAATGGGCTGGTAATCTAATCAAGACATTAACATTGTTTCTGTCTTCTTGACTATACAACTTGATTATATATTAGGACAGTTAACGCAAACTTGAATTATAATTTCCCCAATTACTGTTGTAACTTAAAATCCTTTTAAAATTAAAAGTACAAAGTCAGACAACTCTTTGAAGCTTCGTTTCCTCTGGTGTCTTTCCAAGGCCTCGCTTCCTCTCTCCACAAGTCAGAGATGAGGGCTTCACTGAGTGTTGAGGATGAGTTTGGCTTAGTTTCCAGCGTAGGATTTACCAAACTGCATTGAGTAAGAGCAGCACACTTGCTGTAACCTGGGCTGAGATTCTTGGGTCTCCATTTTTCTTGCCTCTCACAGGCAGGGTGCTTGTGTTTCATGATGGTGCATGTTTCTCTTGAGATACTGGCGTGTGAGCGTTACACTGGGCCTGGCACCTAATGCCCTGGTGTATTGTGTTATATGACCACACACGCTGGCAGGTCCCCCTCACTGGGGTCTTCCTTTGGTTCGACAGCCTCCTCCTGTTCTTTTCAATGTACTAGTCTGGGAAGAATTCTTCTGCTCCGCTTTGGGGTTAAATGTGCTTTCTGGTTAAAGGATTACTATAATTGTTAAAAATGAGTTTATAAATACAACTTTCCCTGTCATTGTTTGCTTTTGAGAATTAGCATGGGTGCCAGATTTGAAGACAATATTTTCCACATAGTAGGTACTCAGTTATGTTTTTTAAATGTAGGGAAAATCTTGACTTAGTTCAAACTAAACCTTATCCAGGACTCAAAAGAGTTTAAGACCAGAAGAGGCCAAGGTGAAGGGGATCATAAGTAAGGCTGGGTGGTGTGTGATCCTTTGCAGTATCTGGCAGTGGCCAGACTCAGGGCAAGCATTTCATGCTTAGTGACAGTGGGGATGGGAAATGGAGGTGACAATTTTGACCAATTTTATTTTAATCTCTAAGAATATTGAAAGATTTAGCATAGTATCTTTGATGTCTAGGGTAAATAACTTGTTACTGATGTAAATGCTTATTTTAAGCTATATTAATAATCAGCATCTTTTTTGTTTTTCGAGACAGGGTTTCTCTGTAGTTTGGGTGCCTGTCCTGGATCTCACTCTGTAGACCAGACTGGCCTTGAACTCACAGAGATCCGCCTGGCTCTGCCTCCTGAGTGCTGGGATTAAAGGCGTGCGCCACCGTCACCCGGCATAGCACATTCTTTATTAGACACACAGCTTTTCCTTTTGTGAAGAGGCATGCAATGCAGCCTTCGCCCCATTGCCCGCTGCTCCGCTCCATCACTCGGAAGAGCTGTTTATCACATGCTGCTGTGACTCATTTTGCACACTTTGACTGACACTAAGAAAGCTTGCACTTCGTATAATTTATTTATTTGCACTTCTAACGTAATGGCCCCTTTCTTAAGGTACGGCAGGAACTCTTGGAAGAATATGAACAAGTTAAGAGTATCGTCAGCACCTTAGAAAGCTTTAAAGTCGACAAGCCCCCAGACTTCCCTGTGTCTTGTCAAGATGAACCATTTAGAGATCCAGCAGTTTGGCCACCCCCTGTCCCTGCAGAGCACAGGTAAGTGAGACTCGGGCGATAGGAACATCTAGATAACCATACTCATAGTAAAGCTTTGTTTGAACAGTTTCGCAGAAGCATTTTGGGGGCTCATAATCTTAATATACTTACCATGCTTGTTCCTTGTGGGGTCCAGAGCTTATGTTCCGTCAAGGAAGAGGCAAATCCGTGTCCTGCCCTTACTTTCTGTGGCCTTACGGTGGTCACCTGTCTGGCAGCTTAGCAGTTAAGAGAAGTTTTTTAGACTAGCACCACACCTCGGTGTTTTTGGAGAAGACTGACCCCTTCCAGCGAGCAGTGAGGAGACTGGATTCATCTGTAATAGTCAGTGGCTGGCCTATCATTGCTTAAAGGTCCGACACCTGGGGTGGCATGTAAGGCTTATCCCCACCAGCTCCTCTGACCCTGTCCACTCCACTGCTCTCTTCTCCGCTCTCCTGGTTTCTGTCTGTGCACAGGTGTTCTTTCTCCAAGGACTTCCCAAATTCACACCTCTAAGCTGCTCGTCTTCCTCAGGTCCCTGTCAGCTGACTGAAGCATTTTTCTGGTCGCCTGGGTTTGCAGGTGGCATGTTGGATTTGCTTGTCTGTTCAGGATTAGAGGACAAGTGCTGTCAGGCCAGGGCCAAGGCTTTGTTTGCTTAGAAACCACACAGCAAATGTCCTTTGCTGACACAGAGGCTTGCCCATGGATGGAGTTCAACACTGACATCTCCATTGTTTATGAGTTAGGAGACCGAGGCCTGGGAGAGCTGGCCGTGTGAGTCCGGTTAGAGCGGGACCTGAGATCAGGTCTTGGGCTGCCTTTCTGTCTCTTGCGTTGTGACGTGGGGCTGGGGGCAGAGTGCTGTCCCATAGGAAATCCATTTTCCTTTGGCTAGTAGCTGGGCTCATCTGTTCAACTAACTGCTCTCTTGAAGTTTTCCAAAAGCATTTAAAGGATTGTGAAAAATGGTTAATTTTTGTTGTTGTTTTGTTTTAAGACATGGCCTTGTTATGTAGACCAGGCTGTCATGGAACTTGCCATGTAGCCCAGGCTGGCCTGTCTCTGTGATTCTCCTGAATTAGCCTCCAAAGTGCCAGGATGACATTCTGTACCATCTCACCCACCTAAATTCTTTTAGAATTTCTTCTACTGAGTTACAGGTGGTTTGTGATTTCCCTAGTAAAGGCAGGCACTAGAGAATTTTTTTTTTTTTTTTTTTTTTTTTTTTGGTTTTTTTCGAGACAGGGTTTCTCTGTGTAGCTTTTGCGCCTTTCCTGGAACTCACTTGGTAGCCCAGGCTGGCCTCGAACTCACAGAGATCCGCCTGGCTCTGGAGAATTTTTTTTTTTTAAGGAAAATGATGTGTTTTGGGCTTAGGTAGCCCTTACTCCTCAGAGGGCACCATTTCAGGAGTCATGATTGTTCTCTGGCAAGCTCCAGAGTAAATACTGAAAAAAAAAAAAAAAAAGGAAGGAAGAAAGAAAGGGACTGTGGTCTATCAGAACACCACATTGTCCCTGTACATGTAATTAATGGAATGCCTCATTTTTTCCTAGAAGTCATTAATTCCCAAATATACTTCTGGCTTAAAGCTAAGAGCTAACAATAAATCTACCTTTTAGAGTACATGCTCTGAATGGTTAGGTCACCATCATTAATTTCAGGAGGCAGAGCTACAGACAGTACCTAATATTTGTGAGTCAAATGATAAAAACTGTGGCTAACGTTTTCCCATTGATGATTGCCGACCTAGAAGCTGCCCTCATTACAGGGCCTAACTCAGCCCTCCTGTTGTTTGTTCTTCTTACATGCCCGTAACATGGATTGCTTTTATTGTGATACTTATTTCCAATCCTTTTCTAATACTGAAATTGAAAGATAAATGCATGGACAGACTTTCTTCTCCACACTAAATCGGAAAAAAAAATTGTTTTTCCTATGTGAGTGCTGGGGAGATGGCTAGAGTGTGCTGCTCTTGCAGAGGACCCAGGCTGTGTGCCCAGCACCCACATTGGGTGGCTCACAGCCACCTGCAAATTGGGGGTCTTCTGGCACACACACACACACACACACACACACACACACACACACACACACACACACACACACATAAAAACAAAAAGTCTTGGGGCAGTTCCCTCATGTATAGCTCTTGTACGTGGTGTGTGCTTCTGTGTCCTCTGTGGATTAGAGACGATCTGAGCATGTGTGTCACCTGGGAAGAGACTGACTTCCACACTGTGTTACTTTTGTAAGTAATAGCTGATAAAGACAATGAAGGAAGGCTTAGTGCTCAGGGCTTTGGGGGGCGTGCTCCATGGCCACTGGGTGCCATGCTTTGGGCAGAATGCCTGTGTGGAGGAAGCCTCTGGCAGAGGAGTGCTTATACTTGCCTGGAGACAGGGAGCAGAGGGTGGAGGAGCGAAAGAAGGGGTGAGTTCAGTACTGCTCCAAGCAGCCTTCCAGCCCACCCTACTTGGCTCCACATGGCCCCATCACTGGGATCCAGCATATAACACACGAACCAGTGGGGACATTCAGACTGTAACACACCTGAAAACACAGGCCAACTCAAGAGGTTGTGGGTTATGGGGTGTGTGTGTGTGTGTGTGTGTGTGTGTGTGTGTGTGAGAGAGAGAGAGAGAGAGAGAGAGAGAGAGAGAGGTGTGCTTAATACCTAAGTAATGTGGGTCATAATTTAAGACTTCAGGAACAGGTTCTGCCTGTAAGCAACAATGGCGTGCCACGGTGGAGAATGCTTTAGTGATGTGTATATAAGGTACAGGTCACTGAAGAAACCCAGTCTGGTGCATTGAGAGGATACAAGGGCAATCAGGTAATGGTGTACTCTCAGTTAAAGGCCATGGGAAGCTGGAACTGAACACTGTTTTTCTCCTTTAAAAATTCTGTGTCTTCAAGTCTTGAAACAGAAAATCGCACCTGGAGATAATGACTGGCTGACGTACTCTTTAAAGGTTCTGGGTCTGAGCTGTGGGCCTGATGCCCACTTGCTCTACAGCTGTAGTTATTTGAACTGCTCTGAACATTGATTTCAGTGTCTCTGCTATGGGGGAGTCTCATCTCACAGGATTAAATAACAGAATTCAGTGGTGATGGCCAACAGGTACTAAATTAGTATCAATGGTCGGCTTTGAAAAAAAGAACCACAGTATTCTTTCAGATACATAATGAAAGAATGACATAATTAACAACTGGCTCCTTCAGAAAACCTCAAGTAATTATATTTTCTCCTTGAAAATCTGCAGAAATCTTCAGTTTTCTGAACCATGTTGGGTAACCCCAGCAGAGAAAATGCTGAGTTCTCAGGGTTGAAGATCCAGGAAGCTGGTGTTCATTTCAGGGGAAGGGGCCACTAGGAACCACTGGTCACTTGCTGTTTCTAAGCGGTCTCTTATGTAAGTCCTCCAGTGACCCTACCAAGTACGGACTGTTCTAGCATGCTGATTTAGTGCTGAGACCCTGGTGTCTAGACAGTGAGAGTGAGGCTAAGCTTGTTATTTTTCCAAAGTCAGGACTTGAACCCAGACCTCCTCGGTGCCAATGGTCTCATTTGTACCCACTTTGTTCTGTGATTTCAGCACATCCATCCAGTGGCATTTGTGGCTGCATTTTGATATATAGTCTATGTCCTAATATCTACTTGTTAAATTCTTACTAGTGGTGTTAGAATAAAGAAATTGAAAATGCTTAATGAAATAAACATTAATAATTTAAATGTAATTAAAACATATCCCTGTGGGAGCATCACACTGAAATTATTATTTTAGTCAATAGAGAAATGTAATTTACTGTTTTCCTACAAAGCCTTTCAGAGATGAAGTGGATGTGCTTGGCCTTGGCTGCTAATGTGGCCAGCCTGTCTGTACTTCTGTCTGGTTCAGTTTATGGAACTGTAGTCCAGAATTCCTCTCCATCTTCCAGTTAGGCGTCACAGCCGTGCGTACTCTGCGGCTGCTCTCAGTGGTTTTGCCGTGTTTTTTAAAGTTAGACTTTATGTGTCATGGATTTGCTGAGTTTAATCACGATCCTGTTTTAAATCACCAGCAGCTGTTAGACAAATCAAAGCAAGCTTTTGAATAAATTAGATACATTGCCTTAAATTTGAGAAATTGAGCTGTGAAAGTGGTTTGTGATGGAAGGTCAAGGCAAGAGTAGAGTTAAACTTGGAGGAAGTGAAGCTTTGGATTGTGTCCTTTGTGAGTAGGTTTCTTACGTTAGTGAAGCGATTTTGATAATCTTTACGTCTAGGCTTAGTAAGTACATTCTCTTTAACAAGGTGAGGCCTCAGACTGAATCTAAGGTTGTCTGTAGCTGGAACAATACTTGGCGTAGCATCTAGTCAATAAAATATGTTTTCTTTCTTTTTTTGTGTATATGTGTGAGTGGTGTGTGTGTGTGTGTGTGTGTGTGTGTGTGTGTGTGTGTGTGTGTGTGTGCATGTGAATGTCCGCGTGTGTGTGTGTGCATGTGAATGTCCGTGTGTGTGCATGTCTGTGTGTGTGTGCGTGTGTGCGTGTGTGTAAGTGTGTGAGTGTGCCATTACAGAGATGAGACTAGGACACTGCTCTGTCACTCTGCCTTATCCCTTTGAGACAAGGTCCTTCCTGAAGCTGGAACTGGGCCCGAGGCCGGCAAGCCCCGGTGATGCTCCTGTCTCAGTTACCCGCACGACTGCAGTTGCAGGCACTCATGGAACCACGCACAGCAGTGCATGGACTTCACGCTCAAGTCCTCTTGCTGACACAGCAAGGGTTGCCCTCAGACCCACTGCTCTAGCCCTTCAATATTCTCTATTCACCTTAAAAAGTAAATATGGCAGATCTTCATCCAGCCTTACTGAAGTAGAATTTGTATTTAAGATATACAACTTTTTGATCAGATTAGACTATGAAATAATGACTACAATTAAACTCACCTCACCTCATATAATTTGCCTTTTTTTTTCCTTTTTGTAGTGAGAACACAAGATCTACCTTAGCAAAATTCAAGTATAT